TAACAGCTGCAGACACCATTAGGCAACACGATGTGCTTTGAACATTTTTAAGTGCTCTAAAGGCCTATTAGAAAATCAGTATTTTTACCATTATGACAGAGGAGGGAGTAGATTATTTTAGTAAGTAGAACTACCACTACAGTAGGGAAAAGATACCTAGGATAAGACATTAGAAGGTAGAAAATGAGCAAGGGAGGCCTCTGCCTTTAAGAAGTTGTTTCAATGGTAAAAATTTCACAAATGGGACAATGAATTGAGATAGTATGTTTAAAGTGTGCAGAAACAAAAAGAAACCAGCTGAATCATTCTTTATGAGGTAAGCCTTTTGCTGAATTTAAATTAGTAAATAGAATGCTCAGAGTTTCACAGAGCAGTCCCTCATCATCCTGTGTATTTCTGAGATGTTTCCATACAAGTAAAAAATGTAGTTAATACGACTGAATGGAAAATAAATACACGGCGTGATCTATTGCTAAGTGCTGATGGAGGCACTGTGTTTCTGATGCTCATTTGACACTATGACAGACTCTTAAGTGGGTATTTAAGTAGGATTCAGCCAAGGCTAGGTTACTAGTATTTTAAAATATATTAATTGAGAATTTTGCAAAACAATGTCTGCAAATTGGGTGGTTCATCTAAATCAGTAATATTGTGCAGTATTTAACTATTAAAGCTGTCTCATCTAGATCAATTCTCCATGTTATGCCCCCTTTTCACTCCCATTACAGCAATCGAGTTTTACTTGCAAAAAATAGTTCAGCAGCACATGCCAAATTTGAAAGATGCTGGTAAAAGTGTTGAGAAATGAAAAGGCATTGACTGAGTACTATATATTCAATATTGCAATTACACACAGACATATTTCACACCTATTCCACCAAAGGAAGAAATAAAATCACGTGGCTTCTATAGCCAGTTGTGACTGCAGATCTGTTAACGCATTATTTTAAAAAATAGTGATACATGTTCAATAAAAAACACATTCCTAGAAAGTGAATTTTGCTAAGGTAGGCACCATGAAATAAGGTAGGTTTTGTGTGATAATCGAGTCACTAATATATAAAGCACTTGTTTTACAGAAATACTCTACAGATGCAACATATTGATGCAATTTGCTAGTCAAGTACCTTTGTCATTTTAAAATATATTCATTTTCCAATCAATTTTTTTTCATTGAGGACCCTTTTGAACTAATTTACAATTCATATGAATGAAAAGACTAAAACTGAATACATTTTCTCCTTGTGATAATTTGTTCAATATCTTTACAGATGACAACACCTTTACAGATGACTTTGCAGCTCAAGATTCCTTTTTGCCCAAGACATTTGAAGTTTCTTAGATAAGTCTTTCTCAAAATATCCTCTTACATATCCCTATGGTTAATTGTTTTCAAGATCTCCTTCTACTTTTAAAAGCAGCAAGTAGTTGATAATGGATACTACTAATCCTCAACCTGAAGTGCTACATTATTAAGCTTTTTTCTGTGCGTATACCTGACCATGAAACAGTGACGTGCCCATATACATAATAATTTAACTGTCAAGTAAAGGCTCTTTTTCCAGTTACACTGCATTTAAAGAGACATCAGAGGTTACAAATCAATACTTTTTGTAGCACTGATCATTATTTGAAGCAAATAAATCCTCGTAATAACATCAAGAAAGGAAAGTCCTCCAGATATCAGTTTTCATGAAAAACATGATTTAAGGCTGCTGAAATATTTCCATCACTACTATAGCACAGAAATAGTTTAACTAATTAATTGATACATAGGTATCAGGTATTACTTTTACCACATAATATGTTTTTATTTTCTTATTTTCTGCTGCAGTTCAATAAGGCTTCAACAGTGAGGTTCTGCTAATTATAACAGGGAAAAAAGCCAAAAGAAAAACAACTGCTATATTTACAGAGGGATATTTTGAAGTCCAATTATAATAAAAATCCAAAAAGCATCCATTAAACAGTTCCAATGCTCCAAACAGATCTGACACTGCGGCACTTGAAATAGAATCTCCTTACACGATTTTTTTTTTTAAATTGTAAAATAAGCCGTGGCTTCAGAGTCGGTTTATACAAAGTGACAACTCAAACAATTCTGAAATGTTGCTAGTTAGAGGGGGGAAAGACCCCCTCAAAACCATTGTCACTATGGTAATTATTTCACAATGCCTGATGTTAAATGGGCAGTCCTGTGGCCTAAGAAGCAGCTGAATCCTGCATTGTCCTTGCATGATAAAAAGATTTGAAAGTCTGAAAAGCAGAGGAACGGAATCTCACAGCTTCTTAGACTTCACTCTGAAAGGGCCATTGTAACATCATCATAAATCCTGGGCTCCCCAGGCACTTGACAACTAAAGCAGTGGACAATAGAATTCTTGTGTTGAACAAAACACGCCTTGTCTGCCAAAGGGTTTATCTGCTTCATTTACAAATGTCTTTCGTTGTACCAAAATAATTCCCTATTAGAAGAACTATTAGGAACAGAACTAAATAAATATTCACAGCTTCGTAGTCTGTTTGGCAAAACAAGTAAACTAATACAATCAAGGAGCATGCAAAATATGAGATTTAAATCAAGGAAACCCAAACAACGCCAAACCTCTATGTTCCTCTCTTTATTTTCCTCTTTTCCTGATTGCAGAGAATTACACTAAATACACATTTATCTCTATAAAGAGGACCTTCATATATTACACTTACTAAAGAAGATGAAAAATATAAGAAATCTGGAAACATTTCAGATTGGAGCAAAATTGTATCCAATGTGATTTTAAAGGTGAATATTTTCAGAAGAGCAATTACAGAAATAAACTTGGGAACATATCTGAGAGTTTAATGTAATAGAGACAAAATACTTACAAATCATAAAAGTATTTATACTGTTGATTTATAACTATATATGCTTAGGCCCTTGTTCCTGAGAGATACCAAAGCATTAGGAATCAATTTCTGAAAAGAAATGTTCGCCAGACTATGGCAACTTTTTCCAAGTCCAAGGAAAATTCTGGCAGCCATCACAGAAACGAGTGAAACTAAAATATTCCAGATATTATATAAATGTAACTTCAAAAAGTGTTTTTAACATAGTCAGAATTCCACTGCATCAGGTTTTCAAATAAACAGTTGCTTGATTACAATTTACTAGAAAAGTGGAAACAATTTATACCTCAGACAATTGTTAAGGAAAAAGCCTACCAATCTAAAGTATTGCACAATAAAACAATACTACCCTAATCAAAGTGCCAGAAAATCTGTACAGCTGAACTGAAACCTAAAGAAGCTGAATTCCTTGACTGAATTACTGATCAGAAACTACTTATTCAAGTCCAATATGGAAATGATGTTTTCACACAGCCCAGGCAAACGGGCTGAGTGACTCAATAGCTTTTTTCCCCCCTAATTATTACAAGCCTATAAAACATACATGTATTTCTAGTCTGCATATTAAATGGATATTCAAGCAGGAAAATTAAAAATTCAGAATGCATGCAATAAACATCAATTCTGACAATATGCAAAAAAGTGTCTAACAACATTTGAAATAAAAACAACACAGGGAAATGTACTAATCAATATAATAATCAGAGGAAAAAGGCCTGAATTTAAACCTCCCACATGCCAGCTCAGTATCTCTATTTTTTGGGTGCACCATTTTTTCTCCACCTCTCCTCAGTGAATAACAGTTCTAAAGACATAGGTATAAGATGTAACTTAAACTTGACTTCTTGTATGCCACTTTCTGCTGGTTGCTAATCTATGCTATGCTATGCACAGAATAGCAATAGAAACTCCCCTCCCTCTTGAAGGTATATATATATAAATTTGCATGAAGTTATTATGGTCATTTAGGCAATTTGCAATTTGTCTTCAACAAAATCTGTTTTCTGCCAGCTTTCATAGTTTTATTCTAGCTCCTACTACATGACACACAACCACACCATATTTTTACATAGTCAGCAGTCTCTGTTTAGGTATAAAAAAAATGGATCTGCACTGAAGTTTAAAGTCTTAGTGCAAAATCAGCATTTAACTCTGCTAGAGAATATATATCGGGGTGTCTTGACTAGGAGAATAGTGTCCTTGGCTATATATAAATTGCTCCTGCAAGGTATTATCTTAGCATCTAAATAAGCTTATGCTTGGGATGACCTTCCAGGCAGCTAAGTCAAGTAATGCGAATCCCCACATGCAGCAACCAATATAGCATCCTAAAATAATTGAGGTGGAAAGGGTCCTCCAGAGATCATCTAGTCCAACTCCACCACTGAAAGAAGCACCAATTTCAAAGTTACTTTAGGTCATTAAGGCTGCCACCTCATTCATGTTAACAGCTGAAATTAGCACCATGACCAAGGTGTCTCTGTGTGGACACTAAAGCTTTTAGGGCTTACCATCTTA